TTTCCTTTTTGTCCTCCATCCCCCTCGGCCGCAACTGATGGTGGGTCCAGGGCCCAACCTCGGCTCACAGGCCGGGACCTCACAGCTGCACACAGGTTTCGAGAGGAAATGTAAGTGCCTGCGGACACGAAGCTCCTAGTGACAGAGGTGAGAAACCCAGAAGGATCCCATTTCCAAGAACCCCTATCTTGGAAGTGGGAGCCCAGTGGGTCCTTCTTAAAGCAAACCCATCAGCTATAGATGAGTTCCTCGGGCCAGCTCTTCTTCCTTTGCTTAATAATTGCCAGCAGCTTCTCTAGATACCAAAGTTCCTCCTGATGTGTTACATTAGCATTTTAATGGCAGCAAAGACAATTCCAGGAACACGTGGATGAGCCGCTTCCCTTGGGTGGCAGTGTGAGATTTGAGCGGGGGTGGGGGGATGGTGGAGGTGGGGGCCTAGGCCTGGAGGTATTGGGGAGGCGTTTTCCTGAAGTTGGGTCTCTCTTCTGCAGCAGGGCGACCTGTGCTCTCTCTTCCCCAGGAGTGGAAGGAGACAGATGCCCAGATGGTCCCAGTTTATGAAACGAGACGAACACAGTCCAGGAACGGAGCCTGTTGGTGACAGCAAGTTAGACATGGCAGCCGGAGGCCCTGGCCGTTCTAGTAAGTTGTACGTGTTATCTAGACCGGACTTGTGAGGTGCATGGCAACGTGTGAAAAGTCACACATACATCGTGGACGTGCGAACGCCCCTCAAGGGCCAGCAGTGGGGGTGAGGGAAGGACCGGAGGCCGGGATCCCAGCCCCACCACTTCCCACGGTGTGGCTCTGGGCCGTCGCTGCTCTCTGAGCCTCAGTTTCCTCATCTGAGAACCATCATGATAATGACCAGATCTCAGGGCTGCTCTGAGGACCAGGAGAGGAAATGGAATCTGAAGGCCTCTGCAAATGAAGGTGCTCATTACAAACATTAGTCCTCATGAGTAGAGGCGTCAGATAGGTCCAATCTTGCAGGAATTGAGGCGTGTACCGCATTCACTCACTTTGCAAACTTCTGATGTTGCCCACCCGTGTGAGGACTCTTGCTAGGCCTTTTGGATACGAAAACAATAAGATGTAAATCTCAGACCTGAACAATTGCCCCGCTCAGGGGAGGGGGGACCAGTGGTTTCAGGTGAATCGTGCTGGAGGGCATGGGGAAGGCGGGCTCTGGTGTTGGGGTGTTCTAGTTTTGGGAAGGAATCCCATGTTTGCTGAGCTGACTTTTTAAAAAAATATGTTTTTATTGATTTCAGAGAGGAAAGGAGAGGAAGAGAGAGTCAGAAACATCAATATTGATCGGCTGCCTCCTGCATGCCCCCTACTGGGGCTCCAGCGGGCAACCCAGGCATGTGTCCTGAAGGGGAGTTGAACTGTGACCTCCTGGTTCATGGGTTGACGCTCAACCACTGAGCCACAGCGGCAGGCCAGGCTGAGCCGACGTTTGAGAGG